TGGGTTAGCTGGCTGTCTCCCTCCTCTGTGTGGGCATTAGCAGTGTATGCCACAGCAGCCAGCCTTCCCACTGCATCCTGGGCTTTCAATTTAGGTCCTCATGCTTTTGTGGCAAGTACGTTACTGGGTGAGCTCTTAGCCTGAGGCTGGATTCTTTTAATGGAAATAATATTTCAAGAGTATAGTTCATATGCTAGGGAATGCATGTATTAAATTACTGGATTGGTTATTGTTTCTACACTTTTTTTGTGAGCAGGGCTGCTAATTATGAAGGCTTGTGTACGTATGTGTATGCTTTTCATAAAAGGTAATTTCACGTATAGTTAGTTTTTTTTAGACAGGATCTGTCTTTGTAGCCTAGGCAGGCTCTGAACTCTTGATCCTTTTACTTTTGACTCTGTCACTAGGTATCAGACACCTGTGTCTAGTTCAAGTATGGCATTTTAGACTGTACCTCTCACTTCTTCCTCCCTTTCACATTTGTGAATTTAAGGAACAAAGGAATAATAGAGTAAAGATGTCAACTAATTATAGCAGTCCTCTGTTAAACCAGGGGAGTCATTCCAAGATCCCAGTGGATCCCGGAAATCATGGCTGGTGTGGTGCCTATACACACTGCTTAGCAGTGAATATAATATGCATCCTACTTTAATTTATAAGGTGAGTGGAGTAAGAGTAATGGTAACCAAGATCAAAGCAGAGTGTCCAATAAGTGAGGTAGGTGCCTGTGGTTTCTGTATCTCCAGACATTTGTGTCCTATGCTCACTGTTCCTGTGAGATGGGAACGTTGCCTCCTTAATGAGATAAATGAGGTGAATGACCAAGCATTGGGAGGTAATGGAGAGCCCTAGACTGTGCCATTTAAACTCAATCACTGATAGCACGTCACTTTGGTAGCTGAGATGGCTCCTATAACTATGGGAGGGCAGCCTATATAGTGGGGATGCACTAGGCAAAGGGATGCCCACACAAAGGGCTGGCCAGAGTGATGGCTCTGGATGCATCCAGTACTTAGAACGGCACACAGTATTAGACTTTGTGAATTGTTTATTTCTGGAGTATCGCATTTAGAGTTTTTGGAACTTGTTTGACCGTGGATAACGTGGATAATCTGTGGAAGAATTAGTGAGAGAGATTTTGGTCTCCTGTGTGCCATTCCACATTTATACATGGTATTTGTGGTTAACAGATCCACCACACCCAGCTGGCACGTCTATTTTATTTTGAAATAGCCATAGCTGGTTTTTTGGGGGATGGGTTGGGGTAAGGAAATGTTTTTCTGAAGGTGTGTGTGTGTGTGTGTGTGTGTGTGTGTGTGTGTGTGTGTGTGTTGTGTCCATTTCATTGCCACCCCCCTTTGTGTTTTTACAAACCCAGTCTTGTTGTGAAGCTCACTTTGATCTAGGCTGCAGCATCTTCTTCTTTTTTTTTTTTCTTGGTTTTTCGAGACAGGGTTTCTCTGTGTAGCTTTGCGCCTTTCCTGGAACTCACTCTGTAGCCCAGGCTGGCCTCGAACTCACAGAGATCCGCCTGGCTCTGCCTCCCGAGTGCTGGGATTAAAGGCGTGTGCCACCACCGCCCCGGCTGCAGCATCTTCTTGAGCCTGGTGTCTACACAGTATACACTGCTCTGAAGTTCTGTATGTACCAGTCTTGTCGGTCTCCACTTACATTGTGTCTGGAGACAGGAAACTATTTCACAGTTTTACTGTGGATGCTATCCTGGGGTTCTGAGTTTTGCCCTACTGCTTTCCTGTATGGTTTGGGGGAGTCTTCCTAGAACTAGTTTTAGGAGTGACATTCCTGATCTTAATTATTACAGTAAGATCCAAAGAGCTGGCCCCAAGAGTAAAACTCAAAATAACAGCCAAGGGTTTTATTTGGAGAAATACACACACACACACACACACACACACACACACACACACACACACACACACACACACACACCACTTTATTTACCACAAATTTATATGAAATAATGCTGAGGCAGATTTAATTTGCAGTATGGTATTTTTATTGCACATGGAAAGGAATTCTAGAGAAAACCATTTGTTCAGACACTTGAGTTATAGAAAGACGTGTTTTAAAGTCATTCAAAACTGTTCTGACAACTCTAAGGAAATAATCAAATAGGAACTGCTGTGATTTCATCAAGCTGGATGAAGTTTAGAAGAAATTTTGTTAGTGCTGGGGCTGCTGTGTGTTCCAGTTCATTCTTCTAGTGGGGTTGCCACTGAGGTATAGAAGTTAATCTTTCCTCAATGTTTGGAGTCCTGGTTGCCATGACTGTCACCAAGATTCTGCTGGGCAAGATTTCAGCACAGATTAAAAGCACCTTGAGAGAACTGATCTGAGGAAGTGCCAGCCCCGAGTTCCATTGCTTTGAAGGTGATTTTCACCTCAGAGAAGTTTGAAATTGGGAACATGCACAAAGTGTTTTTTAGGGAAAAGTTAGACTTAAAGATTTCCCCAGGTTCTGGCTATTACAAATAGTGCTGCTATGAACATAGTTGAGCATGTATCTTTGTGGTATGATTGAGCATTCCTTGGGTATATGCCCAAGAGTGGTATGGCTGGGTCTTGAGGTAGATCGATTCCCAATTTTCTGAGAAACCGCCATACTGATTTCCACAGTGGTTGTACAAGTTTGCATTCCCACCAACAGTGGAGGAGTGTTCCCTTTGCTCCGCATCCTCTCCAACATTGACTGTCATTAGTGTTTTTGATCATAGCCATTCTGACAGGTGTAAACTGGAGAGTCATGATTATAAGGAGTTCAAGGCTAGCCTTGGCTATATGATGATTTCAAGGCCAGCCTAAGCTACATAGGAAGATCCTATCTGAAAACAAAAGTTGTTTTTTGATGTCTACACACATGCTGTGGTCTGGGCATGGACATACACACACCATACACACTGTAATAAAAGCTTTAAAAATTCTATTGGAAAAAAAAAAAAGATTTCCCCATCAGTTAATAAAGGACCTCTAAAGGAACAGGGCTGATAGAATGAATGTGTATATTAAAAGGAGATTTATTAGCATGGCTTGCAGGCTATGGTTCGAATAGTCCAACAGTGGCTGTCTCCTGATGGAAAGAGAAGACTAGATATCTCAACAGTCCCTCCCAGACTAGTGCTGGAGTTCCAGGGTAGTCCTTGAGAGCTGCTGGTCTTTATCTAAGTTGCAATCCTCAAGCAGGTTCTAATACCAGCGAAGGAATGCCTCAGCAACAGAGTAGATGAACTTGCCAGTGATACTAATGGAAGCAGTCCAAGAGGCAAAAGCTTCCTTCTTCCATGTCCTTTTACATGGGCTGCCACCAGAAGGTGTGGCTCAGATTTAGAGTGGGTCTCCCCAACTCAATGACCCAATCAGGAAAAGCCCTTCATAGTATGACCAGTTGAGCGACTTGGTCTTACTTGATTCTAGATGTCGTCAACTTGATAACCAAAATTAACTATCCCAGTAACTCTATTTGCATATATGGAATTTGTGCATATATAGTGATAATTGGAGGGTATTTGCTGAAATGTCCAGTCTAATCCTCTGTGTGTGGGTGTGTGTTGGGGGTGGGGGCTAGGGTTAGAGAGATAGTCTAGCAGTTAAGAGCACATACTGTTCTTACAAAGGACCCGAGTTTGGCTTCTAGCACCCATGTCAGGTGGCTCATAACCACCTGTAAATCCAGCTCCAGGGATCCCATACTCCTGGCCTCCTCAGATAGCCACACTCATTCTATACATGATCTAAAAAACAAGAAAATAAACTAATTTTTTTAGTATTTTTATTTTATGTATATGGGCATTTTGCCCACATAGCTACACCATATGCATGCCTGGTGCCTGAGGAAGCCAGAAGAGGGCATGGGATCCCCTGGAACTAGAGTTACAGATAGTTGTGAGCCACCATGTAGGTGCTGGTAATTGAGCCAGTGCTCTTAACCACTGATCCACCTCTCCAGTCTCAAGAAAACAAATCTTTTAATATAGTGTGTTTAGTATATCTGGGTTTAGAATGTCACATCTTAACAGACTCCTGTTTGAAATAGCATTCTAAGTGTTGTAGGCCAGGCTGTTTCATTTGCACCCTTCTCTCTGCTTTATGTATTCTGCTGTTTTTAGGGAACTGTAGAATCTTAAGGAAATCATTTGGGTTAGTATTAATAGAAAGAAGAATTTGAAATCATGCAGCTTACTTTTATGTATGTACATAAAATTGTACACTGTGCAGTGAGTTATGCCTGAGTGCATTTGAAGCGTAGAGAGATGTGCTTTGATCAAGATTTCCCAGCTAGCCAGTTACGTATTTGGGGTCCAAAGCTTTTGATTCCAGTCCTGTTCTTCCCCAGTAAAACAGTTTTCCCAGAACATTCTGTTACGCTTGTGCTGGTGAGAAAAGTGAATGAGATGCTTTTCTAGGATGCCCAGACAGAAGGGACACATTGGATGGCCAAGACATTGTGGAGCTAGCTGGTGGTGTGTATCACTTCTCTGCTGAGCCCATGTCCTGGTTTGTATATGGTGCTGGTGCAGCCATCCTACTCAGTACCTGCTCTTGTGCCCCAAATGCTCTTGTCCTTCCCCCTCGTGCATACCTAATTGGGATTGTAGTCTTTGTGCTTGGACGTAGTGCATCCGAAATACTTAGGATCTCTTGACTGCATTACTAGGTGGTGTGCATTCTGATTGCATGCTTTTCCTCAGTTGCACAAAACAGTTCTTGTTTTGTTGTTACTAAATAGTATTTTAGTCGTAGATGATATGCCACTGGGACTTAAAGTGCTTTCCATAATTGCATAGATCATTATATTTATGGTCTCCTCTTCACAGCTTAGCGACAACCAAATAGGATCCTACTTGTTACAGACCAGAATTAGTAGACATCCTTCTCTTTAGTCTTAAACAGTCCTTGCTGAGTAGAAGCCTTCTGTAGGGGGAATGTTTTGAACACTTCCAAGGTTATAATTGTGAACAAAGTTGCTTTGTTTTGTATTACAGAGAAAAATGCCACGTGTAAAAGCAGCTCAGGCTGGAAGACAGGGTCCTGCAAAGAGGCGCCTTGCAGAGCAGTTTGCTGCTGGGGAGGTCATAACCGACATGTCTAAAAAGGAATGGAAACTAGGATTGCCTATTGGCCAAGGTGGCTTTGGCTGCATATATCTTGGTAAGTGTATGGTGACTTCTAGTCAACAGTGTAAACACCCAAATGTTTCTTATGAAATAGTTTCTTATTTAAGCTATTGCAGGGTGCTGTTGATAATCTGTGTTAAGATCATGTGGTTGATAAGTTCATCTTTGACATATATGTAGATGATGGCTTATTTTATTATAGAAAAAATACTGTAATGTCATTGGTAAGCTCAATATCCTTAGAGTCTTAAAATTTCTACTCAGTCTAATTAAGCTCTCTTCTGAGACTGAAAGAAAGGTGTACCCATTCTTTTTCCTTCACCTCAGCCAGGTACAATTTACTCTAGCTCTGTGTTTAGCTCATTTTATATTTTTATAGCTGTGGGTTTTTAAAATGTCTGAACTTCATATATTAGGCTTGATCTATGTTCGTTGTATTAGTTAGCATGCATACTGAATTATCAACATTAAAAATGTTTTACCTGGGAGCTGGAGAGATGGCTCAGTGGTTAAGAGCACTGACTGCTCTTCCAGAGGACCCTGGTTCAATTCCTAGCACCCACATGGAAGCTCACAACTGTGTGTAACTCCAGTTGCTGGGGCCCTGACAACTATGGCTATAGCTGGAGTTTTCTCCAGTCCTGCCCAGCACTATAGGCCGGCCCCGCAACCTCTTATAAAATAATCACTCAGAAACATATATTAATTAACTGCTGGGCCATTAGCTCAGGCCTACCATTGACTAGCTCTTACACTTAACTCAGCCCATTTCTGTTAATCTATATGTCGCCATGTGTTCTGTGGCTTTACCTGTTGCTTTTACATGATGCTCCCTGGACGGCAGGCTGGCGTCTCCCCCAGCTTCCACCTCCCAGCCTCTCTTCTCTGTTTGTCCCACCTATCATATACTTCCTGCCTGGTTACTGGCCAATCAGTGTTTTATTTATCAATCAATCATTGCAACATATATTCACAACATACAGGACATCCCACAGCACATGGCAAAATACCAATGTACATAAAATAAAAATAAATAAATTAAAAAGAATGGTTTACCTGCTGGGTGGTGGCGGCGCACGCCTTTAATTCCAGCACTTGGGAGGCAGAGGCAGGCAGATCTCTGAATTTGAGGACAGCCTGGTCTACAGAGCAAGTTCCCGGACAGCCAGGGGTGTTACACACAGAGAAACCCTGCCTCAAACAACAACAACAACAACAACAACAACAAAGGTTTACCTAGCTGGCTGTGGTGGTGAAGGCTTTAATCCCAGCACTGACTGAGGCAGGCGGATCTCTGTGATTTCCAGGCCAGCTGTTACATACTGAGACCTTGTACCAAAACAACAAAACAGAATGAAAAACAAAAACCTTGATTGCATGTACAACTGTCTCCTTCCTCAAGAATACTGGTGAGAATATGCTATAGACCCTGTTTGCTTTGGGCATTTCTCTGGTCTTTGCGGTCTGTGATTTTACCCTACTCTTAATTTTCTTTTGTAAATTTTGGTTTTTAAGGCTTCATTCAGCTGAGGTAGGCTGTTTCTATACTTCTACCTCTAATCTTGATTTAATTAGTTAACTAGTGACTTAATTTCTTAATGAATGTTTCCTTTTCTCTTTTTTGAGGCATGGTCTCACTACGTGCCTGTGAGGCTCAAACTGACCTTGGATTCACAGAGATTCTCCTGAGTCTGTGTCCCAAATGCTGGAATAAAAACATATGCCACTATGCCTGGCACAAACTTTTAAAAATTATTTATTTTTGGCACAGGCTAGAAGAAGGGATTGGAGTTACAGATGATTGTGAGCCACCATGTGGATGGTAGGAATTGAGTTCCAGTCCTCTGGATTAGCAGCCAGTACTTCTAACAATTAAGCCATCACTCTAGCCCTGAAAGTTTCAACGTTTATGTTTAACAGTTTACATAAAATAAATGTATAGACATTTTTTACTGACAGCTGTAAAGATCTATAAAATGAACTACTTTTTTCTTCAAGTAGTTACTATAAAATGAAAACTTAAATTGTTTTTTCCTTTCAAGCAACATCTGACTGGGAGTGTTAATATTACAGTGGAGGTTAACATCATCTGGAAACTTGTTGGAATTGCCATTCTTGTACCCCATGCTACTCATGATTCAGAAACCATGGGGGAGGCCCGCAGTGCTGTTTGAACAGGCTCTTTTAGATGACCAGGCACATACTGGGATTTGAGAGCCGTAAGAGAAGAGCAACTGTTCTCACTGGGTCGGCCCTGCTTCACTTGCATGACTAGGAGCTCTGCTCTGCACTTGTGCTCATGAAACACAGTGCTTTGCACAGGAGCCTCCCGGTGGAGATCGTTCTTGCCTTTGGGAAAGCACATGCTGCTTCTCTGGTTTGGTTTAGAACCAGGGCTGTTGTAATGAAGCAGGGTATATTTATGTAAGGTCAAAGTCTTCATAAACCACAGAAAGTAGCTGTTCATGAAATGTTCACATAGTTATGATAAAATAACCCACTGGGGGTGGGGGTGGGGGTGGGGGTGGTGGGGTGAGGAAGGGTGGCAACTGACACCACCACCATTGTGGTTCCTGATTCTAGAGGGTTCAGTCCATGGTGTTTGGCCCCATGCCCTATGTGTTTGGGCAGAGTGTCATGATGGCAGGTGCATGTGACAGGAGAGTCACCTCTGGTGCGCGGGAAGTAGAGGAAGGCTCCAGGGCAGCCTGGTGCCCCTGCTGGCTTCCACTACCCAGTGATCTTCTCCAGCTGTTTCCTACCTCCTAAAGTTTCTGGAACTTACCCCAATAGTACCGTCAGCTGCGTATGCTGCAGCCTTGTATGGGACACTTTGTCTCCATACCATTACCTTAGTCATAACAGCCGAATGTGTATTTCGAGCTTGTGATTTAAGGAGGTGCTCTGGTCACTGAAGGACTTGAGTTCATTAACAGGAACTTGTTGCTAAGTAGGGTGTTCATTTTCTCTCCCGAAACTGTGCTTGAGCCACCATGCTACCCTGGTTATTGCATAGAATCGTCTGTATTCCAGTGTCCTTGCTTCTGTGACCCTTTGCACATTTGCAACTTGCTTTGTGTGTGTGCTGGATGTTTTATTTCTATCATTAGAAGGTGCATTGACTAGTAAGTATTTTTAATACCTAGCAAACAGTCTGTGAGTTCAGACTTGGCTCCCTGTGTGGAGAAGGAGTATTCACTTCAAGACTGATGCCTTCATTGCTGTGTGCACTGATACACTGAAGCTGCCCTGTGTGAGATTGCTGGCAGCATCTGTGTATAGTGTCTGACCTCGGAAGTGTTGAGTCTCTCTCTATTTTGGTTTTACATAGTGCTTGTTGCTTTTCTTTTCCAAAGCTGAGTTTAGGGCAGGACATGCACATGCTTAATACCTTTATTCTCTTTCACGGTACTTTCCACACTTGAAGACTTTTCTCAGTTCCAGGGTAAACATGTACTTGTTGACGAGGCATAGCTCTTGTCTTCTTTGTGCTTAGCATAGTACATGCATGTGTTGTGGAGAAGTCATTGTGTTTCTTCTCATTGGAGTGTGCAGCATCACTGGGATGCTATCTTCATTTTCATGTTTTGTTAAAGATTCTGAACTGCCTTATTACTACTTCAGTTTCTAAGTGCTGCTCCCTGGGGCTCTTCCTTTGGAGCTCAGAGCTCTTCCTCCGCTGAGTGAGCGTCTCTAGAAGCCGGTGCTGCTTGTCTTGTGTCTGGAGTCCTGTGGCCACAACTCTTTTTTGGTTTTCTTCCTTGGTTTCCATTGCCTGTTCTCTTGATCTGCCTGGCTTCTGTTCCAAGGTGGGGTGCCTTCGCGATCAGTCCTGGCAGTTCTGTTCTCTCTCTGTTCGTTCCTGAGAGGATTTCTTCCATTGTGAGGCTGTAAGAAAATAGTCTTTTCCCTTGAGCTGTGCTGGAGAGCGAACCTAGACCTCATCTGTGCTGTTCCACTGAACTAGTCCTCAACTCGATAGTTAGCATTTCTCCGTTCATCACGTGCAGGTGTGAGATTGTATATGCAGCAGTGGTTAAGAGCTGCAGCAGCAGCGTTGTGTTGCTCTGGCCAGCCACCTCAAGGAGGAGGATTTACTTTGGCTTACAGACATTGAGTCTAGAGGTACAGTTCACACATGAGGGAAACCTGGTAGGGGCAGGAGTGTGTGGTGGAGGACAGCTAGCCACAGTGCAGCAGAACTAGGGGTGGGCTGTAACCGTCAGAGGGCCTCAGCCCTCCAGTTAGGCTCCACCTGTTCAAGGTGTGCAGCCTGGCAAGAGTACCACCAGATGAGGATAAGTGTTCCAAATACAAGTCTGGGGACATTTCAGATTCAAACGATAACAACATCTGAACTCGGATGGTTAGCAAGCATCTGAAACAAGATACCCCAAAACACTTTCTCCTACATTTCTCCCTTTGCAGCTTTTGTGCAGTTTTCTGCCCAAACCCATCCAGTCCACCGAGGTCCCGTTAGCTGTCCTTTTGAGTCTTTGATCACAGTCTACTGGCACACCTTGTCTATGATCACCTTGCCCACGCAGCTGTCAGGCCACGCTCTGCCCCACCCGTTAGACTAGGAGAATCCCCTCACTGCTCTGCTTGCTTCTGTTCTTGCCCTGTACACAGGTCCTCTATGGAGCCCCGTCAGAGTTGGATCATGCTAGTCCTTTTGGCAAAACCTTGGAGGTTTCCTGTCTCAGTTACAGCAGCAGTCCTAACCTTGACGTTGTCTGTTAGGCCCTTCATGTTTTTCCCTGCTGCTTCTCTAATGGCTCTTCCTCGCTTTCTGTATCATGGTTTTCTCTGTGCATTGGTCTCCTGGCTTTACAAATGCTTGTGACACTCCCATGTTGGGGCCTTTGGTGCTAGTCCATGTGGAATGCTGTCCTGTAAATTCCCATGGCTTAAACTGTTGGATGCTTTCTGGTAGGTACCTCAGGCTCTTGTTAACACACTGCAGCACTGCCTCTCCTCACTGTTGAAACTGCCCCACCATTTCTCCTGTCACATCAAACACACTTTATGTCTTATGTGATATCTGTATTTTACTCCTCAAATGGCAGCCAGAAGTGGAAGAATTGTTTTTTTCTGTGTACTTGCAAATTCTCATTTCTTTTCTTTTCTTTTTTTGGTTTTTTGAGACAGGGTTTCTCTGTGTAGCTCTGGCTATCCTAGAACTCACTGTGTAGACCAGGCTGGCCTCGAATTCACAGAGATCCTCCTGCCTCTGCCTCCCGAGTGCTGGGATTAAAGGTGTGTGCCATCACTTCCCAGCTGCAAATTCCCAGTTTTTATAAAATGGCATAATGTAGGTACTTGTTGATGAGTTTGGAAAGACTTCCCTTCTGCATGGCAGTGCCAAAAATGTTGCTCTGCACTAACCAGTGTCTGGAGTCAGCTCCTCTGCTTCCAGATGTTCTACCCCAGAGGGTTTTACAGCTTGTTAGACCCTGGGGTTTCTCCAGTTCCCGTCCTCCATGAATTCCCAGTACATCAGCATGCCAGTGACCAGAGGACTTCTGAATGAAAGAAATAGTCTTCACTTTGGACAACAGCTTCCTATAACAGCTGATCAGATAGAAGAAACCAACAATCGCTAGATATATTCTACACAGGAGAAAGTCTTAGACTAGGTGCAGTGTTGGAATGGCCCTGAAATGCCATTTGGGAACTGGGATTCACCCCTTCAGAGGGCTGCAGGGCTGTAGGCCTAAGTGTCTGTCATATGCTGTCTGAGGCAACACTGCTTGTTCTGATATGATGTCTCATTCTTTAAACAGCGGACACAAATTCTTCCAAACCGGTTGGCAGTGACGCACCCTGTGTTGTAAAAGTGGTAAGAAAATACTGCTCATTTTTTTCTCTTATCAATGTAAGTTGGTATTTATTTTGTAAGCATCTTTTTTGATGACTAGAATTAGTTAAACCATAAGGTATTGCATTGTTAATCATGTTTCATAACTATTTAATGAGGCACATAAATAGCTTTACAGTTTTAAGTAACTCGAACTCAGAGTCTTCATCTCCCCTGAATTAGAGTGGCACAATTTGAGGTATCTAGGAAACCACAGAGGTCTGCAGGAGTGGGAGTATCTGTTTTAGCTGTTGTCACCAGGCAGGCGCATTTTATATTTAGATCCTGGAACATCACGCTAAGCTGATTTTTATTTTACATCTTGTTCTGGACGTCCGTCCGTCCATCGGCCCGTCTGTCTGTTTCTTTTGCCTGCTATCGGTTTTATTCCCTTCCCTGTTCCTCTGAAGAAGCTGTGGGTCTCCCCCATGGTCGTAGAGCCTTCTTTGCTGTGCTCATGTTGCAGTTAGTTCCCCATGTGTAGGGATTGGCAGCACCCCAGTGGACAGAAGCACGCTGCGGAACTAGGCCAGGTACAGACAGCAGAGCTAAGGCATCTTTGTATTTAATCATCGTGTTTGTTTTCTCTGCACTTGTACATTGTTTTGCTGAGTAGAGCTTGTAGCTCTGCCCACCCCATATTTGTTAGATGTGTAGACCCTTGTTAAATAGAAGAGCCAGGAGAGGGGGTTGTTGGAGAGGTTAATGCTCATTCTCTGTCCTTTTTTTTTTTTTTTTCCCAGGTTATAGAACCTGGGAGTTAGTTAGAAGTGCCTCAGAGTTCTGTCAGTTCAGTTTATTATATTTAAATAGGAGTATATTGGACTCCTTAGAACCAGGTATCTTTGACCAGAATTGAAGGTTTTTTTTTTTTCTTCTTTCCCCTAATTTATTTATTTGGTGTGTGTTTTCCATGCATCTATGTCTGTGAACCATGTGCATGCCTGGTGCCCTGGAGGCTGAAGAGGCCATTGGATCCTCTGAAGCTGGGGTTATAGATGGTTGTGAGCTGCCATGTGGGTCCCGGGAATCCAACCCAGGTCCTCTGAAAGAGCAGCCAGCGCTCTTAACCGCTGAGCTAGCCCTAGTCCTTGTTTTAGTGAGCTTTTAAAAGATGTTTATTAAGAAGTGTAATTTTGCAGTAAAATATATAGATAATAAATCAGTATTTGAAGACATGTGACAGGCATGTGTAAGTGCATCACTCTTGTCCTCTGCAGTCTCTAGAGAGCTCTTGTGTCCAGTATTTGACACCTCACCCACCCCACACCCCTAGTTACTTCCCGTCTAGAGTATTACCTATGGCTACTAGGGATAAATGCTGTGTGTTCAGCATGATATTTTAAAGAGTCACCTGTATTTTTAGCATATCATTTACTGCATTTTATTGACATGTTGAAGGCATTTGAGCTGTTTACGGTTTGGTCTACTGTGAACAGACCTTCCCTGGAGATTGTTGGAGTGGTGTTTTGATGGGGATAGGCTTTTGTTTCTCTTGGAAGCTGAATTGCTTCTCTATAGGGAGGATACACATTTACATCTTTTAAAAGTTCTGGACATATTTCCGAAGTGGCTTGCTGGTTTTCACATTGCTGGTGGTTGCTGACGGCTCTGTATGCTCCAGTGCCTGCCCACAGTGGGTGTGCCCAGCTTTGTGAGCTTGCTTACTTCCCACTGAGCCCCTTTTCCTTGTGTGTATCTACTGTTCTGTGGTTTTGTGTGATAAGTGCTTCTTTGGTCTCTTACTTCTTTTCTCCTTAAGAAAATCATTTTTGAGGCCGGGCGTGGTGGCGCACGCCTTTAATCTCAGCACTTGGAGGCAGAGGCAGGTGGATCTCTGAGTTCAGGGCCAGCCTGGTCTACAGAGCTAGATCCAGGACAGGCACCAAAGCTACACAGAGAAATCCTGTCTCGAAAAACCAAAAGAAAAGAAAAAAAGAAAAAGAAAAAGAAAATAATTTTTTTTAATAACTGGGTTGTTGTGTTGCCTTTTATAATTGAGTGGGGCGAGTTATTGTGGATAAATCTTATTTTCAGAATGTGTGTTATAACTATTTCCTTCTAGTTTATAGTTTACCTGTTCATTTGTAAATGCTTTTATATATCTTTTTAGCTGTCTCGTTAGATTTTTCTCCTTTATTTGATTAATATGGCTTCTCATATTGAACTAAACCTCATTTAGGCAGGCTGAGGTAGACTTCTTACATAGTTCTGGAACTGCTTTCCTGAGGACTTTTGAGTCTTTATTCATAAGGCATCATGGTCTTTAATTTTTCCAGAAGTATTTTTCTTTTCTTTCTTTTTTTTGGTTTTTTGAGACAGGGTTTCTCCGTGTAGCTTTGCGCCTGTCCTGGAACTCACTCTGTAGACCAGGCTGGCCCTGAACTCACAGAGATCCGCCTGACTCTGCCTCCCGAGTGCTGGGATTAAAGGCGTGCGCCACCTCCGCCCGTCTACCAGAAGTATTTCTGTGTTAGACGCTTGGAGTCTGACTGACTTTGGTGTTAGCAGCACTGGCTGTTCGATCCCCAGGGGCTCCACTGGCTCCTTAGCCCAAGGGCCTCTGGGTACGCACTTCATGTCTCGTCTAGAGTGCAGGCAGGTCTTGAGCGCCCTTGTGGAGTTTGTGAGCCTAGTGCTTCCACAGCCTTTGTTTATAGCGGGAAGCCACAGCCCTTCTTCCCACATGGCATGTTGAGTTAATGCCTGTGTCCCGGTCTCCCGCCGTTCCTTCCCTTGTCTCCTGACCTCTCTCTCAGTTTGGAGCTTTCTTTCTCATGGAATGGCATTCCTTCTGAACGGCTGGGTTTGCTGCCAGGCATGGGCTTGTGGGGAGTTGTCTGTACCTGTCTTCTGTCCCCATGGAAACATGACACCTGTGGGGTAAGATTAAGGTTCCATTGAGAAGAAAGTAAGCTTCCTACTAGTCCAGTCTTTCAGACTCCTCTGCAGCTGGTGAGTCTGGATACTTGTCTGCAAGTCTTGGAAGGGAAGGGCTAAGTGACCATGCTTGTTTTGTTCCTACAAGCTGAACTTCTGGCAGGGAGGTTTTATCGTCGAATTGTGATCTTCACTGGAAGTGGAATGAGCTTCACTTTTCTATCCTTTTCGCTTGTCTAGCTGAGGGAAATGTGTAGGCTAGGTATTTCTGCTTTCATCTGAACACAGTGGCTCTCTAAGTTGTAAGGATGTCTCTTTTCAGACTTAGTCCAGTATTTCGTGTCTTCTGTCGTCCTTTGTTCTTCTCTGTAATAGAGAGGGTGGCAGATGCTCGGTCTCCTGTGCACACTTCATGTCTTAGTAGCTCTTCTGCAGTGTGGTTTGTGGTCCTGGAAGAGCGGCTGCCCAGCCCTCAGAGGGGACTCCAGCCACAGCTGCCTGCTGCTCCCTTGATGACTGAAGTCTTTGGCTCCTTTAAATTCCTGCATCAGGCACTATATTGTCTTTTATTATACAGTTTCACTTCTGATATCCTTCTCATGATACCAGTTTAAAAAAATTATGTTTATTTCTCTAAAATATCAGTAGATTTTAAGTTACTTGATAATAACCTTGTTTTTCAAATGTCGTTTAGTTATGCGGTCCTTGCATCCTTGTTTTATTTATTGTTTGATTTTTAATATTTTTAAGGTATAATTTTCTGTCCCTTTTACCTGCTTTTCCATTTATTTGCTTTTACCATTTTGATGCTGTCCACTTTTCTCTATTGGGACTAGGCTGGCTCATCAATTCCTTCTTGCAGCTTTGCAGTCTTCAGAGTGGAGGTAGACATCCAATACAAACATGCACAACGATTAGTACCCTTTTCTGCAGGAAATCAGAACAGTTGACGTTCAGACATAAACATGAGGGTTGTGACAGGTGCTTATGTGTGCGCTGGAGGTGGGTGCAAAGCCTGCTGGCTGCTGGGCAGGTTTCTGTGACTCGTGTTTTCAGAGAACATGAACGACTGACTGGGCATGGTACCAGAACAGCACGATGTGAAGCTTAGTGTAAGGGTTCTCTATAACACGGCTCTAGGAGGAAATCACCACGGCACTTGTGCATTGTAAGAATTAGCATGCCTTTTATTTTTAGAGCAAAAATGGGCAAGTTATTTAAGAAATTCAGCTAAGGTGGTTTTAACTGTAAAGTTAGGTAATCACACGCCAAGCAGTGCTTTCCAGTCCTTGTATGTTGTCATGAGACTGCACAGGGCCTGGTCACTGGTGTCCTTGATAAGTCTGTCAAGCGCTGCTTTGTATCCAGGTGGAGACCCAGAGAAGAACCTGCCGCATTGCACACCGTGACCGTGTCAGGTTTGATCGTGTCTGCAGACCTACACCTTCATTCTGAGATCCTCCCATGCTTCTGCTCTGAGGCTCCACCTCAAACCTGGCTACTTCTCACATGCCAGCTTTGTGACTGAGCTCTGTAGACTTACACACAGCTCCTGCATTTGGCATTGGTGTGAACATAAGATACACATGCAAGTTAGGTGTCTCAGCATCTCTTACACACTCCCTCCTGCCCAGGGGTGCTCTCTGTGTCTGTTGAGGGCTTCTTCATCCTTGGCTGATGCAAGCAGCTGTAGGATAATGCTTCTATGTCACCAGAACAGTTAACTTATGTTTGCTTTCAGAGGTTCTGTGTGTGTGTGTGCACATGAGTGTCTGTATGAAATTAGATGGTCAGGAAGAAGTAGCAAAGAATTCAGTTGGATAATACAAGTAGATTTTTTTCTACTTCCTCCCTCCCCCAACAGACCTAAGAGTTCTTAGAGTTATTCTCACCTCTGTGGGAACGAAGCTGGAAGCCTGCCGATAGTCTTCCAGTCTGGGCCACCTCGGAGCTGGTGCATGGTGGTCCTTTCTTGGAGAACCACTGGGGTCTCGATTTCACAGCCTCCTGGGAAGGGCTTTGCCTGATGTTATGATGAGTGTTCTGAATTTTCAATTCAGATGTCTTAATTTTTTTGGTAAGAAGGAGAAACTTTGTACAGCTTCATTTTTAAATGGCAGCCAGTTGCTTTTGGATGGTGCCATTGAAATATATCACATTTTAATTTTTCCCTGTTGTCATCGTCATTTTGACACTTAGAAGTCTTAAGGAAACGTTTAGTGATATTCTAGTTAAAATGTCAGTCCCAATTTCTTTTCTAAATCTTGGCTATTATAGAGTTGGCAAAGTAGTTTAGATTTGAAATATGTTAATACAATTTTAGTTCTGAGATAAGGTATTTTCTCCACAGATAGCTCGCTTCAGCTAGAGCACAGTGCCAAGAAGTGGTTCCTTTACTTTGTCATAATGGAAGCCTGTTGGATAGCTAATGTATGAAAGTGCTCAGAAAGCCTGCACTATAGTCTCCTGATTTATATGGTTGATTCACATTATAAATTTAATAAATTATTGCTTGAAGGAAACTTGAAAATTAAAGTTGATATGATGTAGGTTGAAACTGAATAAATCAAAAATCTTATACTGTTGGTAATAAGCCAGGAGTGGTCTTGGGAAAGCGTCCTTTAAGCCCAAGTTTTATTAATGAGTCATTCTGAAAGTTAACCAAAATTCTTTTTCTTTAATTTCACTTTCTTCATTTTTTTTTTTTACACTTATTCTGTGACTTGCTCAGTCATTGGCTTAAAACATTTGCTCATGTTTCTGACTCCTGTTGCTACTGAGAAGGCGGCCGCAGGTATGAGAGTTTCTTTCTTAGCACATCAGTCAGGGTCTTGACATTCACACTTGAGTATATGGACCTGATCCTGTGTCAGGGTGTGGTGACATGTGAAAACCTTGAACACTGCTCTTCTGAGGCCGAGATGTAACAAGGATGTCAAACTGTTTAGGTTCTTTCTGATCCTAGTGTTGCCCATTTGTGGCTTACATGCCCTCTGTGGCTAGGTACTGCTTGATTGCAGATGAGCAGAGTCCTGTAAACACATTACCTGGAGACTTGTGAGCTGAGAGAACTGTCTATGTAATCAAGATTTTTATTGACACTTCAAGGACCAAAATGAACTTCTGTAGTAATTGAGGGTTTCCTCAATGAAGAAAAAGTATATGTCCTGATTTTCAGTGTTTGGAGCAGATGTCTCTGCGGTGGAGAAGAGCACCCTGTCATGCTGCAGCTCAGGGCTTCGCTAGTTCTAATGAGCTCTGCACCTTAACTCCAGCCGTGCAGAGGTTCTGTCCAAAATACTTTGCCAGATTAGTTTAGAAATGTTTGCTTTCATAGTTGAAGTTGTCATTCCTTTAAAATCAGTAAAAAATACCAGACATTAAGTAAATACTACTTTATATCAACCAGCCAGACAAAACTCACTATTTAAAAAGCCAACAAAATTATAAGCTATTTCTTATCATATTGATTAAACAACATGAAACTCATTATGGGCTGTTATGTCTTGTGTAAAATATCTTTTTGTAAATGTTTGCCTCTTTACAAATAGTTCAATTGGTTAATACCCATTGAAATGGGGAGTAGATACTACCTAGGAAAGTTGGAGAACACCGTTATTTAGCTCCAGTCTCTTTTGACTTTACAAGCGTTGTAGGCTTCTTTGGTCTGAGAAACATAGGAATTGGTGTTAGAAAGAAAAGGGCACAGTGTTTTCTTGCGCTGGAGATCCAGATACATTCCTGATGGTTTTGATAACTAGGTAGAACCATGATAGGTGAGGGAAAGGAATGAGATTCTACCATTAATTGGTTAAGTCAGGTGTTGGAATTTTATTAAACCTCAGAAATGTCTTGTAGCCCCTTGGTAGTGATACATTTAGCATGGTCGCTGGCCTTTGCTTAATAAAGATGAAAATTAGTTTAAACATTTGCCTTAAACTTCTGCAAAGACTGAACTATATTTTTGATTGTGTATAATTAATCACTTATGGAAGTCGAGCTTAAGAAAAAGATTATTATTATTATTATTATTTTTGGTTTTTTGAGACAGGGTTTCTCTGTGTGAATCTCTCTATGTAGACCAGGTTGTCCTTGAACTCACAGAGATCCGCCTGGCTCTGCCTCCCAAGTGCTGGGATTAAAGGCGTGCGCCACCGCTGCCTAGCCAAGAGAAATATTATTGTGAGAACATGTAAAATATTTCTAAGGAGTTGAATTTTAATCTTTTAATAATTTATAAATTTAAATATCAAAGTTACATTGTGTTGTAGGAAAAATTAGATTTACTCTGGTGTTGAAGGCTCAGTGAAAATAATTCAATAATTTTAATTGACTCTTGTATTCTAAGGAACCCAGTGACAATGGACCTCTTTTCACTGAATTAAAGTTCTACCAGCGGGCTGCTAAACCAGAACAAAGTAAGAAACAATAAACATGTTTAAAATTGTTTTGTTAAAGGTTTAAACATTTAAAAATAAGCAGTTTACCTGGCTTTATTTCACATAAGCTAAGGTTAAAGTGTCACATCACGTATCGCTCTGTTTTCATTTGCTTTATACACAAATCCCATTCAAATGATACTTGCATGAAGTCATTCTGAAGTATTGATGTATTTGCTCTATGGTTTGTTGGCATGTGAAGTAATCAATGGTGTGCAACCTAGGAAATATATGAATTACCCTAATTGACAAGTGTGAGTACATGGTCTCTAACTCTTTTGAGCATTTTGCTAAAGCCTGAAGCCCATGAGCTGGGCAGGCATTGCGGTTGCTGAGACTCAGTACAGAGAACAGCCTGTTTCATCTGAGGCCCCATTCCTGCTGTAAGGGAGCAGGTGCACACCTCGTGTCTCCTGCATCTTGATTTGCAGGAAGAGATGGAAATACTGAAGGAGACAGCCTCGTGTTTCTAGAGATGGGGCTGGGAGTCAGTCTTGCTGAGGAATCAAGCAAGCTAGATCGTTAGGTGACTACAGAGGTGGTGCTGTTGCTTGCACTTCCGAAGTGGTTCACAGGAGCACAGTTTCCAGACAAGGGAAAGGCAGGGCACTATTTTTGCAGGTTGGTAAAATTTTTTATTAAACTTTGTGTTACACTGTGCTCTTTTCCTCCTGTTATGAGTAGAGGTGGTTTTGTTGCACATAGAAGTATGCTCTGCTCTTAGTAATTTGTTTTGAAATAACCGTTTACATACAGCAGTTGAAATCACAGACCTCTCTTTCAACTTCTAGTTCAGAAATGGATTCATACACACAAATTGAAGTACCTTGGTGTTCCTAAGTATTGGGGATCTGGTCTACATAATAAAAGTGGAAAAAGGTAAGCTCTACATTTTGAGTATTTCCTGTTGAGTTGGTTCAGTTGGGAGTTATTTGCTGAGCACCCACAGTAACTGTAGGTGTGCATCTGGACTGTGGGGCAGCAAAGGTGGGGGGCAAGATCTTAGCTCTGGGGGTGCCAGTCTAACCTGGACTTGTATGGAGCAATGTCAGGTGGCTAGAACCCCATTGACAGGAACAAAGCCCAAAGAGTGCACTCGGCCTCTCCCAGGATCCTGTTTGATATCTCATATTGAATGCCTAATCATCCATGGAGACTAGAGTCTTGTTCTTTATGAGGGCTTTAGTCTAGCTGGTTAGAGGTGACAAACTTCAGTGACAACATTTGTGAAACCTGGGAGAAAAGCTAGGTGCTAACTCGTGTAACCTTTCCTCTCAGATGGCTTAGGAGTTGGAGTTGGAGAAAGCCCCTAACGCCTTTGTGCAGTCTGCTCCTTTCAAAGCTTGTAGGAGACCGTGAAGGCCAGGCCTGGTTAGAAAGAAACTGGAGGCCCACTAGTTAGAGTGATTGCAGTGAGTGGAGAACCCCTGTGACTCCACTGTTCACGAAGCCACCAAAGGCCTGCTTCCATACTTTGCACTTTTTTGAACTAGGGTCTTGCTTTCTAGACTTAGTGTTACCCCATGGCAGAGCCCACTGGTGGTGAGCTTTCAGTCCTCTGGCCTGGTCCTCCTGAGTGCTGGCGTTGTGGGTGGGTACATTGTGCTTGTCTTGCACAGTTACCCTCATTGTGGCTTTGCTCTCTGTTATGTTCCTGTGGTGCTAGTGGGAAGGCTGCTCCATTTTCAGATCTCACATGCAGACACAGTAGCAGTGTCAGAAATTCCTGCCAGTGTCTTGTGAATTTCCCTGTCCTACCAAGGACCCTTTCTTGGAGTCCTGTGAGACTTCCTTGTACATTTTCTTGGTCACGGTTTTATAATTCTTACGCGTAAACCTGCCACTGGCAAGAGTCAAGTAGTCAGTCACACAGGTCACACAAGTTTCTTGGTGAAAGACACTGTTACATGGAAGGGGAGGGAATGCCCAAACCAGATTGGTGCTGTGTTAGCAAAGACTTGAGAATGGGGTAGCCACTGTGTAAGCCTGCCAGCTTTATTTGCTAGAGAACCACGCATCTCTCGGGAGTCGGGGCTCCCTTTTGTTACATGAGGTTTTACTGGGAACAGTGTGCTGTGGGGTGGCCAGAGAGGTAGTGGGTAGAAGGCCAGCTGTGTTCAAAGGGTGTCTGGCGGGGGCTGCAGAGGAGTCAAGTGGGTGACTGCAGTTTATTGTTAGTGATGACCATTCCTTCCTGAAACTGAGGTGGCTAGACCTTCCTCAGTGGATGAAGTGTTGACTGTTAGGTTGAAGCAGTAAACATAATCCCGTAAGTCTTTTAGAAGTGAAGAAACAGAAAATAGGATTCTTCTTCCAGCCTTTCCCCCTGCCAGACATCCTTACTTTTCCTTTAACTTGTTTGGAAGTGATAGGAGTGATGAGGACAGTCTGAGGATTGTAAAATACTTCCATTACCATTTCAGAATGGTTTGTTCTGATTGATACTGTCTTATTACTTGAAGCATTTAACCAAGTCCCTGAAAAAGAAAGCATCAGAGGCCTTACCTGACATGTTCAGAAGTAGCCTTCTCTGCTTCTGAGTAATACTCAGTCCTAGAGCGCTCTCAGGAGAACGTCCATGCTAACAGTTTGTGTCATTTGTTTATAATTGGGGAATGGTGAGGGGACTTTCAGGGCCATTCAGAGTTAGTGACAGGGTAATTTGTGTGTAAAAACAAAGACCTGATTAATCTGTTTTAGTAGAGGACCCTGTGTTGAATCAGACAGTGTTTACCCTTTTCTAGACTCTGCTGGCTAGTTTTACGTCAGCTTAACACAAGCTAGAGTTATCTGAAAGAAGGAAACCTCGATTGAGAAAATGCCTCCATAAGATTGGACTATGGGCTAGCATGTAGAGCAGTTGCTTCTTTAGTGATTGATGGGGGAGGCCCAGCCCATTGTGGGTGGTGCCATCCTTGGGATGGTGGTCCTGGGTTCTGTAAGTAAGCAGGTTGAGCAAGCCATGTGGAGCAAGCCAGTAAGCAGCACCCCTCCATGGCCTCTGCATCAGCTCCTGCCTCCAGGTGCCTGCCCTGTTTGAGTTCCTGTCCTGGTTTCCTTTGATGACGAACAGTGATATGGAAGGGTAAGTCATGGTGTTTCATCACAGAAGTAGTGACCCTAAGACATAGACTGTTGTTGACAAAGGTTACACTTTGTTGTTCAGAGTATTGTAGTGATCACACAGGCTAATCTTTGGGAAAGGCAGATGTTTATATCCTGCTCTCCTCTCTCAGCTTTGCAAAACTTGTCATACCCAGGATATTGGGAAGTCACATGACCGTTCTCTATTATGTTAGAGATCAGGGTAGCAGGAATCTTGTCACAAATGGATATATTTTGCCCCTACTTGATAGTATAGCTTTGACATATACTTTACCTCCTAAAATATTACTATCTTATTAAAAGATATATAGACAGAGTCTCTAATTCTCTTCTGATTCAGAAATGGATAGGACCCTATATATATTGTTAAAAAGTGTTCTTTTTTTTTTTTAAATTTTATTTTTATTTTATGTGCATTGGTGTTTTGCTATGGGTGTTGGGTCCCCTGGAACTGGAGTTACAGACAGTTGTGAGCTGCCATGTGGGTGCAGGACCCTATATTTTATATTATTACACTGTCTTTTAGTATTAGTTGGCTGTTCCTTCCCTTGTAATTCACTGTATTTTATTGTCATAAAAACCTACATTATGTAAGCATGACTTTTGTGTTGTAGAGTGTTTATTATTTCAGTGTGTGGAGGAGAGTGGTTTAAACCATAGGCCCACCTCATTTGAGGGGAGGTTATGAACAGTTTTCTTCTGTAAAACAGGATGATAGAGCATCTGCCTGGCGAGTGCCATGTGCATCGGCTGACTTGTGTGGCTGTGAGCTCATCCCGGGGAGGAGTTTTGTCTTGTTTATCTGTTTGAATGATTTCAGTAGACACAGTAGATTTCGGACAACTGTTGAAGGTGAGAGTGACTTGTAGAGGAGTGGAGCATGTCATTACAGGTCTCTAGTGCGTCTCAGTGTGCACTTTAAGAGTTTGAATCCCTAGGGAGGATGCAGCCCACCTCCTCATTTTACCTCTCCAGAAATGATGGCCTAAGGAAGTAATAGCACTTGGGCAAGGTGACATGGCAGGTTGATGGTGAAACCAAAATTCCTCATTCCTGCTGCATATTTCTTCTCCAAATCTTGACCACCGAGGATTTAGTACATTATTGCTGTATACCGTTGGGACAGTTTTACTGAATGTAGCTTTTAAGCCATCTCTTGACAGCCTAGATTTAACAGAACATTTATTGTTGAAATGCACCTTAAAGATGGAGACACAGTCACAGAAGGTTGCTCCTGTCTATAAACAGTATTTAACTTCAAGAGAAGAATCAGTGCCCCCACTCAAAGCCAAGTGGATGTGTTTCACTGTAGATGTGTCTGCTCGAGTCTGTGTGAGCGTTGTCTTAAGTTGAATGTTGTCTCCTGTAAACCTAGCTTAGACCAGGAAGAGGCCCTGGAGACAGGACAGTACAGCATTCTGGAATCCTTAAGATTTCTCTCTAGTTGGGAGAAATTCTTCATGGTGTATGTTCATACCCCTTTCCTCCTCTTTTATAACCCTGCCTTATTAAGCATTAACTTGACATAATCTGAAGGGAGAATGTTCATTGCAAGTCCATGTTCTAGTTATTTCCCTCACTGACTTTTCTTGTTTGTCTTCAGTTACAGGTTTATGATAATGGACCGCTTTGGGAGTGACCTTCAGAAAATATATGAAGCAAATGCCAAAAGGTTTTCTCGGAAAACTGTCTTGCAGCTAAGCTTAAGAATTGTATGTGAGCTATGCTCCTTATTGTGAATACAGTAAGGGCTGGTTTCTGTCGCAGCTCAGTCCTCTGCTGGCCGTGTTAGGTACTGCATTAATTTACTGTGTGTATTCTCCATAGCTGGATATCCTGGAATACATCCACGAGCATGAGTATGTGCACGGGGACATCAAGGCTTCCAACCTTCTTCTGAGCTACAAGAACCCTGACCAGGTCCTTAGAACTTCAGTTTTTACTGTGGTAAAACATGCTGTGTGAGCAAGTAGGGTCCTCTGGACTGAACCCGCCCCCAGCTCTGCTTTTTCGGAAGTGGATGCACTGACAGTACTGTTTCTTCACATACCTTTATATAGTTGCCATTCTGCATCTTGTTGCAGTTTGCTGGCACTTTATCAAGTTGGCTGGTTTGCCCTAAATCATATTCAGAAGAAGTGCTTGATACAAAATGAATTTCAAATAGCTAGTTGGGGGTGGAAGCTTAAAATTACATAGTGCACCAGTGGATTAGATTTGCCTGTCTGCTCTGTCACCTTTTTAATTTCCTTTGTTCAAGAACTCCATCAGATGTAAGAAGCGCCTCTGGCTTGGAAAGTTTGGTCTTGATGTGGATTATTGAAGTCATTTGTGTACAGCCTGCCAGAGCAGTCTGGATTTGCCCATCCTTAGTGCTTGCCGGGCAGATGTGTGGTTTCAGTCTGCTTCATTCCCTCTGTAGCTGTATGTTTAAGAGGTGAATGCTCTGGTGTACACCCATGCTGGGGTCAGTGACAATCCAGGATGCTTGTAGCCATTTCCGTGATTTGTGCCAAGACGGTGCAGTTGACACTGCTAAAGTGGCACTTCTTGGTCTTGTGTAGAAGGAAGTTTTGAGTGCTTGTTTGGGGCGATGGTCTGTCCACATTCTGTGCACTGGGCTCGTTCTCCTAGACCTACCTGTCTGCAGCCACCTTCTTTTGGCTGCCTCCTTTTTACACAAACCAGTGTGTTTGCCTCCCCTCTGTAAGCTATGGAGAGCATGAGGGGTCTGTGTAGTGCCCCGAGAGAAAGAAGGCTGCTGTGCAGGAGTGCTCTGTGAGGCACCCCAGGGTTCAGCTCACTTCGCCCCAGCCATCTCAGCTGAGCTGTTTCCTTGAACACAGCAGGAACCTGAACAGTAGAGGTCCCTTTAGCTGGAGTAGGAGGGACTTGCATAGTACTACTCAACATTTGACTCCCGTTAGTTTGCACTTGACCAACACGAGCAGCTTTTCACACGGCAGCCATGTGCAGCTCGCCTACCTTTCAGACGTGCGTGGATGGGGTCACTCCCAGTACTAAGTCCATCTCTGTGCTCACATGCATATGGGCACATGCATTTGTGACAGAGTCAGGTCTAATGTGTAGGTATCAGATGGAAGCCACATGTGCTAATGTCGTATGCCAGTCAGAGCAATAGACTATGCCATGGAATTCCGCTATCGGTATTCCAAATCAGCTTTAATCTGGAAGGCTTGACTCTTTGTATTTAAGGTGTAGGTAAAGGCCTCATCTAAGAGTTTTGAATATTGTTACAGCCTCTGGACCATTTTTATGAAGTAACTAGGCCTACAAATAAAGAATCAGGAGTAGAAGACAACTGTTGTATTGTGTGCTAACACTGTTCATCCCGCTTTTCTTTGTGGAAAGAGTCTTGAAAGTTTATTCTGTGTGATAGTTTGTTCTAGGTTCTGTAAGAAAAACTTGACATCTGTAAGCCTTGCCCATGGAGACATGATTAGTTAGAAGTTTAGCACATACTTTTCTAAGAAAGTATGCAAGGTGAAATAATATTGAAAGGACTGCAGCTTCATGGTCATTTAACATTTATTAAAAGTAAAAATTCTTGGGTGAGGGTTGGATAGCTCAGTGGTAGAGGGAGGTCCTGAGTTAGACTCAATACTGCAAACAAAATAAGATTTCTTAAAAGTAAGAATTACTCAGTGGCAGAGCTCAGGGTTAGCGTTTATGAAGCCTCAGGTGCAGTTGCCAGCATTCCAGAGGAGGGCTGGTGGTGGTTCAGTCCTCTACAGTGTTCATTTTAAATTTGACTTGTTTCGAGAGCTGCTGTTTGTCCTTGTAGGTGAATCTACCCCCAAGTGATTGTATTTTATTTCTGTACTTTTGAGTAATACATGTGGGTTGATTGTTGTCTTTAATTTGGTGCTTGGAAATTTATAGGTGTACTTGGTAGACTATGGACTTGCTTATCGGTACTGCCCAGATGGAGTTCATAAAGAGTATAAAGAAGATCCCAAAAGATGCCACGATGGCACACTAGAGTTCACCAGCATCGATGCACACAATGGCGTGGGTATGTCCTGTTGTGTCTATAGTAGCTTATTGTGTCTACAGGGACCTGGTGTGTCCATGGTGGCATGTGCTGATGTTTCCGTCTGAATTTCTGCCCTTAATTATGCTAAGTAAATAAGTAGACTGATAAAGAATACTGGAAGAAGCAGAGTGGGGTGAGAAGGGGGCAAATCTTTGGCTCCTGTAGTTGAGTAAGACCCTTGTGCATGCCCCTGCCCTTCAAGGATAGTTGGACTTTTGGGTTCCCACAGCTCAGCTCTGTGCAGCTTTGTTTTCTATGTCCTGGTTCTTGTAGAACACACCTTCACAGCGTCCTAGTTTCTTCTTGGCTAGCTTATGTTTTGTGTAAGCTAGCTTGGTCCATTCTTTGTGCTCTTTGCTGTGGTGGACCTGACAGTGTGGAGGGGAGTGTCAACATTTTAGTATCTTCAAGTCTCCCAAAGATAGCAGTGAATGGGAGGCGTTTTATTTCCTAGACCAGTAGTGGCAGTTTGAAACCCTAACATTTCTCAGTTTGGGTTTTAATGATTTCTTAGTTGGAGATAAAGATTTCTTTTATATAGCCCAGTGTTCAGTGATTTCATTACATGCAGACAAATGTTTCTGCCGCAAGGTAGACTTGAGTGGACTGCTCTCTTTCTGGAAAGCTGTTGTACTGTGCTTGATCTTCTCTTGTGTTTGTAGCCCCATCACGACGTGGCGATCTGGAAATACTTGGTTATTGCATGATCCAGTGGCTCAGTGGCTGTCTTCCTTGGGAGGATAACTTGAAAGATCCTAACTATGTTAGAGATTCTAAAATTAGGTAAGAGACAACTTACATTATTTTGGGTTGGTTGGTGATAGGGCAAAGGATTTTAGTCAGAATTTCTTGACAGGATCTATGGCGTTTTTGTTTTCTAGATTTTTTTGTTTTTGTTTTTGCTTTTTTCGAGACAGGGTTTCTCTGTGTAGCTTTGGCACCTTTCCTGGAACTCACTCTGTAGCCCAGACTGGCCTTGAACTCACAGAGATCCGCCTGCCTCTGCCTCTCGAGTGCTGGGATTAAAGGCGTGCACCACCGCTGCCCGGCTTATTTGATTTTATAGGCAGTGCTTTTTTCTGAGCAGCCTCCTACCTCAGCCTCCTGAGTGTTGCTGTTGTAGGCTTGTCGCAGTCACCGCACCTGGCTCAGTGACGTTTAAGTTAGAGACGAAGGTTAGACAGAAGGCTCTTTGAACTTGGCTGTTTCCTTAGAAGCCCTGCCTGCTGTCTGTCCTCTTAGGAGCTGAGCTTGGGAACTGCACTTGTAACCAAGGACTCCTTCCTTCCTCCACAGATACAGGGACAATGTTGCAGCTTTGATGGAGAAGTGCTTTCCTGAGAAAAACAAGCCAGGTAGGGAAGGCTTCCATAGACCATCATAGAGCTTTTGTTTTTCTGGGAAGAACAAGCCCACAACTTGTGAGCCTGCGAATTTTAGGGTTTACCATTGTTGGAGGTACACCCATTTCCCAAAAGCAGTCTCTGCACAGTGAGCTGGTCGGTGAGCCTTGGAGCCTCACACAGTTGCCCTTTGCTTTCAGCAGGGAGACATGTTTTGTTTTCTTAGCCGGTGTTTCTGGAGGTTTATTAGGTGCCAGAGACTGCTGTTGGTGTGGGCTGCACCTTACCCCGCCCTTAGAATGCTGGCCCTCAACGCTGGGAGCTGTGGATGAGTACATAACTGTGATTTTTGTTAGCACACTGTGATGTTAGTCCTCTGGAGAAGAAGAAAACAGGAAGTGGAATTGGGAATGTAGAGATGGCACAGAGAGCAGGGAAGAGTTTACATTTGGAGCAGGGTGGCCAAGGACAGCCTTGTAGAGGGGGCACTGTAGCATTTGTAGGGGAGGTGAAGAAGTAGCTGTGTGGAGGGTGGGAGACTGTGCTAGAGGGTGGGAGAATTGTGTCCCTTTTGGTCATCATGAGGTCATGGGTGTTTACTTTGATCAAGAGTCTACAGCTTGAAATAGAAAGGATACCAATGACCTTATTTTCTAGAACAGTGGTTCTCACCCTTCCTAATGCTGTGACCCTTTGATACAGTTCCTCACGTTGTGATGACCCTCAACCATAAAGTTATTTTCGTTGCTACTCCATAACTCTAATTTTGCTACTGAAATGAATTGTAATATAAATAGGTGATCCCTATGAAAGGGTTGTTTGACACTCCCCAGGGGTCATGACCCACAGGTTGAGAACCACTCCTCTAGAGCCACGAACTGCCTCTAGTTCCTGGTTGAGGGAAGACCGCTGAGGGTAGGATTGGGGAGTACCTGGCAGTGTGCTGTTCTGTTATCATCCATTTCTGTCCCCAGTCCTGGGCTGAGTTCACTAAGACTTCTGGTGTGTGTATGTCTGTGGTGCTCTGTGACATCTACATTCCATTATTTATGTGTTTTACTGCATTTCTAGATCTTGTCCACTGCACATGGCTGATTTCCCATCCAGACTGCCTGCAGTTCAGTTCGACTGTATGTGTCACATTCAGTTGACCTAGCAGCCCATCTTCAAGACTTGCTTTATCTTTTGGTGTTTTCTTTGTCAGAACTCTGTGGACTCTGTTCTTCAAATTGTTCTTTTTGTCTACTCCTGATCCGTACTGTCTCTGACATTGCAACTTTTTCTTCGATCTTGCTGGCTGGCAGTATCTGGTGGTTTGAGTACTCAAGTTTTTTTTTTTTAAACCTGACTTCTTTTTTTTTTTTAAATTAAAGAATTTTTTTCAACGGGCGTAGTGGCACACACTTTTAATCCCAGCACTTGGGAGGCAGGGGCAGGCGGATCTCTGAGTTCGAGGCCAGCCTGGTCTAAAATGAGTGAGTTCCAGGACAGCTAGGGATACAAAGAGAAACCCTGTCTTGAAAAAAGGAAAAAAAAAAAACAAATGTGTGTGTTTGCGTTTTCCTGTCTAAATACCACATGCATGCCTAGTGCCTGCAGAAGCCAGTAGAGGGCATCAGATCTCCTGGAACTGGAGTTAGAGATGGTTGTGAGTCACCATGTGGGTGTTGGGAATGGAACCCACATTCTTGGAAGAGCAGCCGGTGCTCTTAACTGCTGAGCCATCTCTCCAGCCCCTTGACAATTGGTTCTGACTGCACCTCTGTTGAAGTGTTAGCATCACTGCAGTCCCACATACACGGCCCCTCATGTTTGCTGGTCGTTGAGGTTGCACTGATTCTAGTTTGATTTGGAGACCTTTGTAATCCCGCGTCTTCGGACCCACGGTGGCAGCTCTTCATTAAATCCCTCCTGAAATTCCGGTTGTATTTTGGTCTCTGCAGAAATCTTGCTGTTATCACAGTCACATTGGGTAACTGCTGCCTTTTTCTTCTATGTTAAGTATTCCGGTTGGAACATTTGATTTCCAGGTTTTAACAGTATATAAAAATAGGGCAGATTTTTATGTCTTTTTACCCCGTGTTCTGTACCGTGTTCTATCTACCTATTAGTTTTAGCAGCTTTGCAGACTCTGCAGGAATTTTGTTGTTTCCTTTCCCTCTGCTTCCATCCCTTTGTGCCACTACTTGGTTTCTCTGTGTAGTCCTGGCTGGCCTTGAACTTGGGCCCCTCCTGTCTCAGCATCCTGAAAGCTAGGGTTACAAGTTTGCATACCAAGAACATTTTGTCCTAGACCTTGGTGCAAGCACAGTCGTGCTGTTGCTCCTGAAGACACTCTGATGCCTTTCGACACCAGCTACAGCCACTTAGCTGTTCTCTTCTGTATAGACGGTGGTAATGGTGGAGTCCACTCTTTCCTCTAAAACAAAAGTTTCCTGTTGTTTTGCCAGACACACTGATGTTTGTTTCAGGAGTTTTTAAAAATACCTTTTTATTAATTTTTGGATGCTTCGTGTCTTTATACAGTGTGTTTTGATCATACTGCCTTGGGGGTTTCGGATTCCTTTTTTTCTGGTTAAGATAGTGGAGATTTGAGACCCTGCTGTATCTCAACTGTCCAGACTAGAGCCTGGCATACAGTGGCACTTAAATAGTTAAACTAGTGGTTATGTATGCATCTGTGGATGGATACTGCTGTGGTAAAGAGCATCATGTGTTAATGTGGAATAGAGGAAAGACTGAAGAGATGTTGGCTTGAGCTTCGAGGGTAGAATTTCCAGTGACAGACCAGGGAGATTCATGGGGAAGAGTTTGGGGCTTGGTCGGGAGTAGGGGTTTGTGGTGATGGTTGCGTAATCAAGGACCTGAGGCTAAAGAAGCAGTGGACGCCCTTTGTGAGGGCCCGATCCTGCCAGGGGAGGTTTCTTCTCATGCAGGGCACTGCCTCAGTGGCCAGGAGGCCTTGGCCTCTCTGGACCTGTCTTGCTGCTTCTCGAATCTGCTCTCTGGGTTCTCTTTCTCACCTCATAGCTTGCAGCTTTCTGTTGCAGGACTGATGGCTTCTAGGGTCAGTGCAGCTCAGGACAAACTACTTTCTGAATTCCTCTTATATTTGCATTTTATGTGTGTTTGAATATGTTCTCTGTTGTCTCTTATGGTTGCAGAAATGTCTTTTACATTGTATCTCAAAGTATGTTGTTTTACTTACCTGATAATAAAAGCATACTTTGCATCGAGCTCTGATTGAGAACAAGTTTCTATTTTAATATGTTGCCCACTCGTATTGTAATTTTACATTGACCATGGACTGTTTTCTTAGGAATGAGATAGACATAATGTGTTTGTGACTAAAAGTAATAAAATGATTGTGTTATTGTTTTAGGTGAAATTGCTAAGTACATGGAAACTGTGAAATTACTGGACTACACTGAAAAACCTCTTTATCAAAATTTACGTGACATTCTTTCACAAGGACTAAAAGCTATAGGAAGTAAAGATGATGGCAAACTGGATTTTAGTGCTGTGGAGAACGGAGGTGTGAAGACAAAACCAGCCTCAAAGGTGAATCTGGGTGTGGAATGACCCTTTAGGCTTCTTTTGATTCAACTTAACAGGCACTGTAGGCAGGTGAAGCCTTAGCTCAGCAAGAAAGTATGGGTGGTTGGTGGTTAAGGATTTATTGCACGTGGAGGGCAGACCGACAGTAGAGCATGTAGAGGACTAGGAGCAGGGGTATTTGGAGTTCTCACGTCCAGGAGCAAGTCTGAATGTCTGAAAGGACCTCACTTGTGATCGGAGATCAGGTGTGGATGGGGCACCGGAGTTTGAATTTAGGAGTTCTTTTTTGCTGAGTCACCTTTAGTCTTGCTTCAGTTTCTCTTTTTTTATGGATATGGTGAAAAATTTTCTGTTTGAAAGTTGGCATATGGCTTGGCTTGGCATGTCACCATACATGAACAGGATCTTTAAAGGAGTGTTAGGTTTATCTGCACTTAAGGAACTCAGTTGTTAGCGGAGAAAAACGAAGAAGTCATGGCCAGTTTGGTGGAAGTACTGTACATGGGTAAGGAGCTGCTGATGCCTTTAGGGTTAGATTTTATAGCTATGCATTGTTAGTTATCTACTAGTTACGCTTGATAACTGTTGAGGAACTTGCTGTTTTAATGTCTGAAATCGATTAAACACTTCTTTTTGGCTTTTTGAGACAAGGTTTCTCTGTGTAACCCTGGTTGTCCTAGAACTCACCGTGTAGACCAGGCTGACCTTGAACTCAGAAATCTTCCTGCCTCTGCCTCCCAAGTGCTGGAATTAAAGGCATGAGTCACCATGCCTAGCTTCAGTGTCTGAAATTTAATGAGCATTGGAGAGAAATGGTTTAGAACAATGTTTCTCACTAGCCAAACTGTGCTTCCTCCTCCAAGTAGTTCCAAACCGTGGGAATCTGCAAAGGAAGCAGGGAGGTTGCTCAGTCCTCCCTTAGTGCAGATGCTCACTTTTCAATTAGCAAAGTCTAGAGAAAACTACTGTGGAAGCTAGCTTTAAATACTAATGCAAAGAAATCTGTGAGCAGAAAGACACATGCTGACACTCTCTTACAGCTCTATGGTTGTGAAGCTCTTTGTAGTCATATAACTGAAGTAAACACTTAGTTTAGCTGGTAACTATAAAGTCCACTAGATTTCTTCGGCTCTCATATCCAAATCATGAGAAAAAGGTATGAAAACCAAATTTTCCCCTTGAAAGCCAGAAGCTACCCATGGAGAATTTCTTCTTCATCTCTAACCGACAGAGAAGGTGGATGTTTTAAAGGTGGATGATGGATTTACTTTCTTTGGAAAGCACTGCTCTTTGGATAGTTTTTCTGTAGAGCCTGGACTCACACCGTCCATCTGCAGATGTATATCTTCCTTTCACAAGGTCTGCCTTAACTGCATCTGCTCTTCTTTGTGTCTGTATTTGTCTTCACTGCCAGGTCCAGGTTGGAAATGAGGCTTGAGTGGAGGCCCGATAGTGCCCTAGGTTACATGCGTCTTTCTGCTCACTGAGTTCTTTGCAGTAGTGTTTAAAGCTAGCTTCTCTCTAAGTTTTGCTGATTGAAAGTGATCCTCTGCAGTGAGGGGGTACCCTGTGCAACACCTTCTTCCTTTGAAGATTCCTGTGGTTTAAACCTCCTTGGTGGAGGAAGCTTGGTGTCTTAGGCAGCCGACTTCATGGCTGAGTGGGTTAATTAGCTGCAGAGAGTAACTGACCTTACAGTTTTCTTGTGTCCACATGGTTCTTAAGGCTGGAGACTTCCTGTTGCATAACTTTCATGTTGAAAGCTTCACTGAAGGCAGGAAAGAGGACGTCTGAATATTGAACTGTTGGGAACTTTGTTTCATCTGCTTGGGGACTTTCCTATACTCACTGACACATGGCTATTCTTTGTAGTAAAAGGAAATTATGAAACACTAAGATTGGCCTGTGGCAAGATGATGAAGCTGCTCGGTAGTTAGACAACTGAAGTAAGTTCTTAGTTTGGCTAGGTTTCATCTTGTGGTTTGTAAAGTGAAGTGGAGCAGACCAGGGGAGTTTGGTTTGCTTTGTCACCCGGCCCCTGCCACCCTTCCCTGGAGAGTGGACCTAGGGTTTCATGTACGTTATGTACATACTCCTACTGAGCTGTATCCCCAGGTCCCTCATCACTGTTGATTGTCCATAGAGGCTTTCACTAACTGCTCCGACTGGCCTGAGCTCACTCTGTGGTCCAGTTTGGCTTTAATCTTGGAGTCCCCTGCCTCAGCCTATCAAGTGTTATAATTGCAGATGGTGTCTCCCCTAGTGGACTGCACGTTGATCTGCACTTACTGAAAAGACTTGTGTCCCCGCAGTGTTGCAGTGGCTCTCAGGCCACCATGGCTTGTCTGTTCTGGACGCCTGCTGTCCAGTGAGTGCCTGCCTAGTTCTCTTGCTAATGCTGGCTTCACGATTACATCTGAGAATGAGGGTTCTTTAACATCACTCTTTAGAACTGACTGCTGATTGGGGCCCTTTTCACTTGAATGTAAGTGTTAGAGTTAGATTATTTCCACAGAATAATTGTGAGGTTTTGATTAAGATTGCATGGATGTGTTGGGTCAGTTTTGGAAGAATGGCTGTCTTTACAGCATTCTCTTCCATGAATGGGGCTTCCCTTAGGTGTTCTTTCACCCTGCCTCAGTTGTGTCCACACACACACACACACACACACACACACACACACACACAGTGCATAAATGGATAAATGTGTGTACATGTGTGCGCACCCTGTGCAAATTAAGAGGGCAGTTTGTGGGGCAGTTTTGTTCACTGTTTCCATCATGTTCTGGGAATTGGACACAGATTATCAGGTTTGGTGGCAAGTGCCTTTACCCTCAAGCCAGCTAGCTCACTGGTTCCCCTCCACGTACCCTTTATGGTTTTCTGTTGTGGAGACCATACACATCTTCCATTTATAATTTGTTTCAGTGGTTTAATTGTTTCTTTGTGTCTTTTGTTGTCTATAATAATCTCAAACTTTCCCTTCGTCCCATTCAGTTGTCTTCTGGATTTTGCTGTTTCTAATACGTAAATACTGTGATGGTGATTGTTCTATTTGTCTAGCTGGACAGTTTCTTTTTCCTTTCTCTCTCCTCCATTTCCCTCTTTTGTTTTCATTCTTCTTATATAGCCCAGGTTGGGTTCAAACTCTGGCTCTTCCTGCCTCAGCCCCCTACATCCTGAGATTATAAGCATGCACTACCATAACCAATTGCTTTTGCTTTTAAAAACACTGTCATTGGGGTTAGAGAGATGACTTAGTGGTTAAGAGCACCTGCTTGAGCAGAGGCCCAATTTTGTTCCCAGAACTTGTGCTTGATAGCTCATAAATGTCCATAACTCCAGCTCCAGGAGCATGCAGGGCCTCCAGCCTCTGTGGGCACCTGCGTGTGTGTGTGTGTGTGTGTGTGTGTGTGTTAACAAACCTAATAAAAATAAATTTGTAAAAACTTTCCATCAGCTTTAAAAATCTCCTTTTAAGCTTTGAATAGATTTATAAATGTTTGTATGTGTTCTTAACCACTGAACCATCTCTTCAGCCTCTTTTATTTTCTCCTTTTGTCTTTGGTGTTTAACTTGCTGGTGTGACTTTTCTCTTTGCATTTATATTGAGTGGAAAAAGCTCTCCCTGGATTTGCTGGATTATTGTGTCTGTGAATCTGACTTTTACATCTTACAAAGCTTTTTTTTCTTTTCCTCATAGTTTGTTATTTGAGCTCAGTATTGTTAACACTTTACCTCTTGGAGACTCTGTGGCCATCAGGCCTGTGACCTGTTCTTCCTCCCTTGGTGCCTCAGTTCTCTCCCTAGTTAAAGGGGTGGAGCCCTTGAGTCCTTGCTTGGGTCTTGGTAAATCTACCATGACAACTAGACTCCTGGTCTCTGGCTTGTGCTCTGTGTGTCTCTTATGTTCTCTTTTGACATCTGTTCTGGTGATTTTGATTTTTCTGCCGTCAGGCCTTGCTCTGGTGGGACACCGTAGAGGGTGTGTCTCCTTTTCAAAGGGGTTTTAAATGCACAGCCCCCCCCCACTCCACCCCCATTTTCCCCACCTAGCCAGCACTTTTATTTTTTTCCATTTTGGTTTTTCGAGACAGAGTTTCTCTGTGTAGCCCAGGCTGTCCTGGAATTCACTCTGTAGACCAGGCTGGCCTCGAACTTGGAGATCTGCCTGCCTCTGCCTCGAGTGCCTCTGCCTTTGAGTGCCACCACACCTTGGCTACACTTTCTGGTTGGGATTACTGGTGACCGTTTTAGAAAGGTGTTCCCCAGTGTGGGTCCGAGGTGACTAGGACCACACCTCACTTCCTGGATGTGCCTTGGTTGTCTTGGTCATTGCTCTCAGCGGCTGTGTGGGAAGTGCTGCCTTGTGTATCCTTGATGCACGCTGCTTCTAAGTGGTTGTTTGGGGCTCACTTCTTCAGGTTTTAGTCAGGAAGAAGCTGTGAATTCTTGTCTCCTAAATATCCCCACTCTTCTTTTCTAACACATTTTAACTTGTTTGTGTGTGAATGTTTAGACTTAATTAGAATCTGTATCCATTCCCCCATAAGAGGAAGGTCTCCCTCCTCCAGCCTATGTCTCCTGTTGGTTCTCTGTGTGCCCTGTGTCCTTGGTGCTGTGGAGTTCTTGAGTTTTGTATTTCTGTTACTGTTTTTTATTGCTACTTTGTCCTTTCTCTTGGATTCATTTTTTTAGAGTATGTGCTCAAGTAAGGTTTTGTTTTGTTTTGTTTCTTTCTTTTTTCTTTTTTTTTTTTTGAGAGATTGAAGAGAGTTATAAATGGTAAACTTTATGAATCCACAGTTTCCAAAAATGGTGCTATTTGTTCTACTGAAAGAGTAATTTGGCCAAAGACACTGCTGTGTTAGCCCTCAGCTTCCAGTTTGGTTAATTCTGTTTGTTGCTAGATTTCTGTTTTTCCCCCTACATTTGAGGCCCCTTGCTTTTTCATTCTACTCCATCTTCCTGCTTTTCACCACAGAATATTTGTGTGTGTGTGT